ATATATATATATATATATATATATATATATATATTAATATATTAATATATTAATATTATAAGTAGATACACCCATTGGCGTAGGGATACGGCTAGGGTTTGTCGCTTTTCAAAAACCGGTTTTAAAAACCGATTTTTGGAGATAATTATGGAATTCGAAAACCGGTTTTTCAGTGAAAAAAATCGGTTTTCACTGTATAAATGGAAAATGACAAATATAGCCAAATATAAAAGATAGATGAAAGCGTTTTGATACTTGAAATCATATGATAACATTTGATATCTTATTGTACCCAGAAAGGTTTTGTATATATTAATTTAGATTTTTATACCAGGGTATATATTAACTTAAATCAGTGTGACTTCTTCTTGAAGAATACTTGAACTTAAAAAAAAATAGAGTTTTAAACCCTGTAAGCCACAAATTAAAGAACAAAAAACTTAGAATTATCATATTAGACTTTAAAAACAATTAAGCATAAGCATTGGTCGCAAGTATAAGAGTATTTTCTCTTTCATGAAATTTTGTGAGTAAACAAAGGATACCTCTAAATAGCAATTCGATAGACGTTCTCAGCTTTTTGAAATCATATTTTATTAAACAAAAAAATAATTATAATATTTAAAATTAATTAATTGCTCGGAACAGACAATACCCGAATTTAGCTTAATTTTTCAAACTAAAATTGATATTAACAAGTATGTATCAATATGCATTTATCTAATAATATTTTTTAATTTTTTTTTTAATTTAATGAATTTGTTTTTATTTAAAATTGTATTATTTTTATTTATTAAAAAAAAATCCTTTCACTATCATAAAAATATATTCATTCTTATATGTGAAAATGATGCATAAATAACGAATAATTATTTTTAAAAGATATTTAATCAAGATAAACTATTATTTTTTAATTCTACTAATTAAAATTAAAATAATTCTGTTTACTATCTATAAAATTGAACTATAACTAAATTCAGTCAACCATTGCTCTACATTACACTAAATTTGCGGATAAATTGCAGAATATTCGAACAAAAATTTATTTTCTATATAAAATTCGAAAATCGGTAAAAACCGGTTTTTTAGTAAAATTTAAATTTGAAAACCGGTTTTCTGAAATGTCGGTTTTTGTATCAACCCTAATTACGGCCAATGTTATGGCAAGGCTTTTTTATGAAAACTTTCCATAAATATTGACAAAAGCCATATGGTCACCGTGCAGTCAGGCATTTTTCTCAGATTATCAGATAGAAAACCTAACCTAGAAACCGAACTAATGTCAAAAAACTATCTTAGATAACAGGGTCTTTCAGACCCGGCTTCATAACATACAAGTGACTTTGCAGTTTACGTGTAAAACGTCTGAATGCACAACAAATATATGACATTTTGACTGTATTCAGTAGAATTCGGTAGTATGATGTATGGAAGTTAGAGCGTGACATGGCCTTGCCATAACATTGGACTATTGTGATCCTGTATTTAAGGTTTTGTTAAATTGCTGAAATTCTTATCTATTAAGTATATACATTAAATGGTGATTTAAGATTTATTTAACCCTTTCGCTAGGAGCATCGCTTTTAGGCAACATCCGCTTGACGACCTGTGTGTACGAATTCCTATAGACCATCCAGTGGTATAACCTTTGCTTCAAGATATATCACCTTGAGTATTCCAATTTGTTATTGTAGTTGTTAGTTTTTTTAGAAGTGTAATTTTCAATTTTTGAATACTTTCTTATTGCTAATGACTAGAAAATCTTAAAATATTTTGTATGACAAATACTTGGGCGGCTTTCTGATTCATACAGCAGTGCCACTTCAGCGGAAACATCGTCGTAGCGAAAGGGTTAATATTGCAATATTAATTTTCTTCGAATTAACTGACATATTATACTTTTGTTATTTTCCAGAGTCCTCCATATGGCATGTTGAAAAAGTCCAGCGTACAACTATATGGAAATGACAGATATGAAGGTTTCGGGATAGAATTAATCGACGTCCTGTCAAAAATGTTGGGATTCACGTATACATTCCTAATCCAGGAAGACGGAGTATATGGGTCGCTCAACAGGGAAACCGGACAATGGAATGGAATGATTAAAGAGCTATTAGAATATGTAAATTAATTTCAATATCATACACACATGTATTTTGAATTTGATGATATAATGATTTTTCCATATTTACAGAGGGCAGACTTGGCTATAACTGATCTAACGATTACTTCGGACAGAGAAAGCGCAGTTGACTTTACAATGCCATTTATGAATTTAGGTAAAACATTTATTATTTGAAATCAATATGAACATTAATGAATTAAAGACATGATACGCAAAATTCCTTACGGTATTTTTTTATTTAATGGATTTGTGAAAAAGAACACGAACTTATAAAAATTAAAGTAATAGATAGATTTATTATTAAAGGACTTTGTTACTAGAAATAAACTCATTGTCAGTATATATGAGCAAATATATTCACTAGTAGAACTAACTTTCTAATCTATTTTTAATAGGAAAGATTTTTGAACTGATGAATCTAATTGATTTATTTTTAGTACTGTTTAAAAAATATTGAAAATGACTATAGTTTAGATTTTTTTTGAATTTTTACTTCGTCTATTTTTTCAAACTGTGATGAACTTTTCTATCTAACTCGCTAATTGCCATGTCATTCATATGTGTCTGAGGCTAAGAGGTTTTGCATGAGCCATGTCAGACATATATGTCTGAAATACGAAATTTGGTAAAAAACCACGTTTTACATTAAAAATGTATTAATATACGCAAGTCATGTCAGTCATATATGTGTGACATGAAAATATTGTTTTTTACAGGAAAATTTTTAGTAATTTTGGCAAAACATTTTTTTTTTTTTTGATACATGTTTAACTAAATTTCAAATAAAGTTACCATGGCCCATGTGATTTTTATGATATTATCGTGACAATTAACGTGTTGCACCATTTCTTGTAGGCCTATAATATTTTATAATATTTGTTTAGACCATGAAATATATTATCATGAAATGTCAGCAATCACCAAGTCATGAAAAAAAACAAGAAATTACTAAAAATTGCACGTTTTTGATAAGTATAAAGAAACAAGTTTCATCGAATGTCTATTAAATTTTTGAAGTTGTTCTTGAGCAACTAGCAAGACAAACTATTCAAATTTTAACACACACCCATACGTTTTTCTAATGATAGGTGTCAAATGATTCAGAACGACTTAAACCTTTAAAATAAGATCAAATTAGCAAATCGGAATTTCTTTCGAAAATATTTTTTACTTATAGTAATTTATAAACATAGAAACGGTAATTAGCAAAACCTAATAACAAACTCAAATAATCAATATATTCAATACAACAAATGAGAATAAGTTTAGTAATATTCAAATCCTCGTAGGATAGGTTATAGTATAATTTAAAAAATAATCAAAAATCGAAAATTTTTGTATGTCTTTATTTCTCAAAGATTTTTGAACATTTTGGCAGACATCAGACAAAATGCATGTGTGTATTTGTTTGGATGTATATAATATGTATGTATGTTGTATGTTCCGATACAAATTTTTGTCCACGATTTTAAGAGCATGGCTCAACTTATTTGAATTATTTACACATAATTCGATTCCTATTAATAGACATACGTGTTGATTAATTTATGGCAAAGGCAGGTTCAGCCGTTTCGAAAATACGGGGCAAAAATATCTCAAAAATATAAATTCAATTTTTGAGATAACGGAGCTATCAATTTGAATGATTCAAAAAACATTTTATTTGCATTGACGAAATGAAGAACTTATTTAATATTTGAGATCTAACAGAATATTTAAAAAAAATATCATTTGGCGGTAAGAAATAACATTTCAAAAAATTTTAGAATTCTCAAAAATCTAATTTAACGGTAAATTATAGTAATCGCAAAAAAACAAACATGAAAATTTATATATATATATATATATATATATATATATATATATATATGTTTATGTTTCAAAGGTGTCGGAGCATTTTGGCATATCTTGGAAAAAATGGATGTGTGTGTGTGTTTGGATACAAATTTTTGTCGACGATTTCGGGAACACAGTTCAACCGATTTGAATGATTCCAAAAAATATTGTATTTATATTGATAAGGAGAAGTGGCAGATTTTGGACAAGGCAGATCCAGCCTTTTTGAAGATATGAGGCAAATAGTGCCGAAAATTGTAATTCTGTTTTTGAGAGAACGAAGCGTCCGATTGCAAAAATTCGATAAACATTTTTTTGTATTCACAAAATGAAGAACTGATTAAATTTTTGATATTTTATCTCTACGTTAAAGCAACGCGATTGCTTTGAAAAACAAGTTCAAAATTTCCAGAATATTTCAAAATATATAATTTTTTTTTTGATTTCAAAATTCTCGAAGTTTAAATAAAATCTTTAAAAAAAATGTTAGTACAGGAAGTTCCAGCAATTTGCCTTGAGGAACGATGCCATATACCACTAGTTTAATTTTGATTTTTGATACGGTTGCAATGCACTACTAGTTATTTTTAAAGTTTATGCATTTTATTGGATATTTTATAAAAATGCACAAAAATCTCTTTACTTTTTTAATAAGTCTTGTACCATTATCTACCAAGATGTTATTCCATTTTGAAAATAATCCCACGATGAATTGTATAATGCACTTACTCCATTCCAGGCATCACCATCCTGTACCAGAGTTCGACGAAGCAGCCACCTTCGTTGTTTTCGTTCGCCTCGCCCTTCTCGACCGAGGTCTGGTATTATCTTGGTGGATCATACGTGGGGGTCTCGATACTGTTGTTTATCCTCGGCCGTATATCACCGGCCGAATGGCAAAACCCGTTTCCTTGTATCGAAGAGCCAGAGTTATTGTACAATCAATTCAGTATCAAGAATTCTTTCTGGTTCACTATAGGATCGCTCATGCAGCAAGGAACTGAAATTGCACCGATGTAAGTGAGCATATCTTCTCGCCCGAATGCATGTTGAGAAATATTGAAATACGGCTCAAGCTTTAACACCTTCAGATTTTAAAACGTTCGCGGACTTTAAAAGTTTCAGCTAGGTACAAAAACTGATAAAGTTCTTTTGTTTTTAAATTTGTTGTTATATATAAATTTGATTGAACACCAGGGCAGTCATATTATCATATTTTAATTGTTATAAACAATGAATGCTATAGTATCCGCCTCAAGTATTGCGCTTCTATTTAACGCAATGTGCTTGCCGAATGTAATTTGGATGCTATTGCATTCATGTTATTCTGGATCACAATGAAAACGAATGCTATAGCATCGACGTCCAAGATTTTGTTAAATATATTATTTTAATTTTTATATAGTATATACTGAATGAAATATTATAAATACTAGATATTATCAAATATAATTCATTGAATGCGTTTGTTAAACAAATTTATAAAGATATTTATTTTTATATTACATGAAGTTTTATATAACCAAGTTGAACAGATAGATATAGATATTTATTTTTATCTGTTATAAGTTTCATATTAAATTTTTTCCTATATAACATAGATTTTTATACAGATTTCATATATAAGGTTGTCAAATATCTCCCTTCCGCCTTTTTGTATTATAAACCAAGAGCAAAAAAGCGGAAGGGAGATATTTGACAACCTAATATAACCAAAAGTTGGTCAGATAGATATAGTCGATATTCATTTTTATCTGTTCAGTTTTATCTGTTTAAGTTTTAAATTAAATTGTTCCTTATATGACCAATTTTTATTCAGATTTTATATGTAACTAAATTGGCCAGTTAGATATGGATATTTATTTTAATCTGTTCTAAGTTTTATATTAAATTTTTCGCTATATATCATGAATTTTTGTACAGATTTCATGTATAACCAAATTAGCCAAATAGATATAGATATTTATTTTTATCTGTTCTGAGTTTCGTATAGAATTCTTCCCTACAGATATTTTTTATTTGTCCTAACATATGTACTATTTTAAAAATAATTGTTTATATGTTTTACAGACATTTTTATACAGATTTCACATAAAACTAACTTTTACTATAGCTCTAGCGTAATAATTATACTTGCGGAATATTATTCCCCGAATAATATAATTCATATATTCAGATTTTGTTTTCATATATTTTCAATTATGATTTAGTTTTTATTCATTTATATAAAGATTTTTTTTTCAAATTAAATATTTAATACTAACGTGATCGTCTTTGAAGTATTTTATTTAGTTATTGTGGGTTTAGTAAAATAATACTCATGTTTTATCCACTAAAAAAAATTAAATATTTATTCAAAACATATAAAAAATGTTCGAAATATAGTTTCATTCTCTCTTCTTTCATACTATCAAAATAATTATTAAATTTTATTGTATATCCATAGGATTAAATCATAGTGTAGATTCTTTAGATTATAGTATAGTGGTTAAATAGTATAAATTTCTAATCTATGTTTCATACAATTACATCCATGTATCATAGAATCAAGATATAGATCTGTCACGAAGCTTTAATTTTATAATCGCGGTATCTAAATCAAGTGCTTAAGTTATTTGTTTAACTATAATTACTTATGAATTTAATTTTGCAAGCAGTCTTTCTTTTTAAAATTAAATAATGTTTTTTTTAAAAAAAATGAGCATTTTAGTTGATAATATTAGAATGAAAAAACAAGGCTAGCTAATCAGTATGTTTTTAAAATTTGCTGTTTGTATATTTTACCGATCAAATAATTATTTTCCTATATTAAAATAATTATTGCCATGAAATTTGAGTATTTAATATAATTTTGATTTATTTTTCTGTTAAAGTGCTGCTTCAACGAGAATGGTTGCTAGTATTTGGTGGTTTTTTACACTGATTATGGTTTCGTCCTATACTGCGAATTTGGCTGCTTTTCTTACTATAGAACCAACATCAGTCGCCTTCAGTAATGCCGAAGAATTAGCCGAACACAAAACTATCAAATATGGTGCCAAGAGGGATGGATCTACCGTCAATTTTTTCAGGGTTAAGTAGTTTTATTTAAATATATTAACATTCTATCTAATCTTATACCTAACGTATTTTTATATAAATTGTTCATACATTGTGACTAATAAGAACTTTGAGATGCCCTTCTTTGGGGCAATGATGCTATATAGTGGTTGGTGGTTTGTATACATTATGCTATTGCAGTCGGGAAACTTTTTTTTATTTATCACCTGAAAATATTTTTGTCTAAGTTGATATTACCACCATGGCCAAGAGAGATTAACCCCATACAGTAAATGTCAATTTAAAAATACATACTTTTAACACACAATAGTTCTATTTTTACCCCATTTATGGTAATTATTACGGTTTCTTGACAACTGCATTATAGCATGGCCTCCCCAAAACAAAGCAACTAAAAAATTAGAATGCCAATATAACGAAATATAATTTATTATTACGTAATCAAATCTAATAAAATTATTAATCATTTCAGGATGCCGTCTACGAGCCCTACCAAAAAATGTACCGGGTGATGATGGATAACCCAGATCAGATGACATCGAGTAACCCTGAAGGGCAAGCCCGTGTCAAAGAAGGAGGTTATGCATTTCTCATGGAGTCGACGTCCATCGAATACATAACTGAGCGTCAGTGTGATTTAACGCAAGTTGGAGGGTTATTAGATGACAAAGGATACGGAATTGCTATGAGGAAAAGTAAGGCATTCGGAATAATAAAAAATTTCTTGGAAATTCCTCAAAAGTTAATTAATTCATGACTATATGTAATATATTACACTCATCATATATGTGTGACAATATGTAATATAATATATCAAACACATGTATAGATGAGTGACAATATGTAATATATTACATCTAATACATCTATTGATGAGTGACAATATGTAATATGTTACATCAAACATATCTACAGATGTGTTTGAGTCACAATCGAGCGCGGTATAAATATCTATAATTATATCATATAAAAAAGTATAATTAATTAAATATGACGCAAACACTGCCGTTCTGATATTACCTCAATCTTAATTGCTTCTTATTTTAAATGTAAATTTACTCTTATGTTTAATTTTAGATAAGATTTATATAAATATATAATATAAAAAAATATAAACCTGATTATATAAATGATAAACCTGGTTATAAACAGAGTAAAGCGCATTTGTTCTAAGCTTACCCCCCATGTCTATAATGTTACTGGAATGTTATTTTTCTAAATCATTTCTTTTGAATAGATTTTTCTTAATTTATTCATTTTATGAAATTAATTATTTTTAAATATAGAAAAAAATTGATAACAAAAAATGTATTCAAGTTTTTAACTTCCCATAATTGGGTAAGTTATAGTAATCGCAAAAAAATCGAAAATTAAATTTTGTGTATATCTTTAAGTTTCAGAGGTGTCTGAACATTTTAGCATACCTTAGAAAAAATGAATGTATGTGTGTATGTGTGTGCGTCTATGTGTGCGTATGTGTGTACGGATACAAATTTTTGTCGACGATTTTGGGAACACGTCTCAACCGATTTCAATTATTCAAAAAAACATTCGATAGCTGTTGATAAGGAGACGTGCTGATTAGTTTCTGACATAGGCGGTAGACCGTTTCAAAGATACGAGGCAAAAAGTGCCACAAACGGCAACTCAGTTTTTAAGAGAACGAAGTCTCCGATTTTAATAACCTAAAAAATATTTTACTTGTATTGACAAGGTAAACAACTGATTAAATTTTCATGAAGGCAGGTCTAGCGGTTTCGGAGATCTAGTGAAAAAAGTAAAAAAAATGCCATTTGGCGGTCAAAAATGATCATTAGACATATGCACATAAAATTATCAGATATTTTATAGAGATTTTAACAATAAGTATAAATTTTGTTTACATTCCTATCGGTTCCATACCGATGTTTATTCGTTAGACGGCGACGCGGCGCTTTTGCGCTTCTATATTTCGTCTCTATGCAGTTAAAGCAGTACGATTGCTTTAAAAAAGTTCAGAACATGCAAAATATTTCAAAATAAAGCAAACACTTTTTTCAAAAAGTCTTTTTTCAATTTTTTTTTCTTTAATTATAAGTTTCTCAAAAATCCAATTTTTTTCAAAGTAATTTTTTTCATAAATGTTAATCTTTTTTAAAAAAAACATTTTTGGTACGGGAAGTTTCAGCAATTTGCCGGTACGGGCAGTTTTGTCATTATTTTTGATTGTGGTTCTAGAAATGTTATTTATGGTTTGAAAGTTAAAATGAACAACAGTCGAAAAATTGTAGCAAGTTGAGAGAAGTTCTAGGTTAAATTTATTAGTTCACGCTTTTTTATTATAATTGTTCTATAATTCTTTTTATTAGTGTAACGTCAATCCTGGTGTCCCGTTTCGGCTTGATGTTGAGTTCTGAGACACAATGTATATATAAATATGCATACACAAAATTGTCCATATATTCTAATTTATATGTATAATTTTTAACATATATTAATTAATTACAGTATATTAAATGTTATATGTATATGGACATATATTGCATGCTTATGAACAAAGGGACTCATATTTCTTCTACCAAATTTTATATAACTAGGAAAATTTACTAATTAATGTACCAATTCAATTGTTGCGTGATATGAAATATAAATTTTACTTATTATTATTTTACTTACAATTTTTATTGACCCTTGAACACCGCATCAGAACACCTTGAAGACCGCATCAGAAATCGTCATATACTCGTGGAGAATAAAAAAGTGTCAATTACAGATAACATTTTGTCCTAAATTATAATTAGCTACAGTTCATAATTAAAAGGGTTAATAGTAGGTAATCTTGTAAATTTTTCATAATCATCTAAATTTTCATTACCTTTATACAGATTGTTATTTATATGGTAATAAATATAAACACATAACACATAACGTGTCTTAACTGGCGGACGTGGTCATTAAAATGATGATTTTTAAATATATGAATTCAATTTATGAATAATTAATCTTATTTGATTTCAGAATCTCCATATAGACATACATTGAGTGCTGCAGTACTAAAACTTCAAGAACAAGGTACATTAGCACAAATGAAGAGGAGGTGGTGGAAAGAAAAGGACGGTGGAGGTGCTTGTACGGTAAGATTAATAAAATATTAATTTAAAAAATATCTTTGCATTTTTATTAATTTATGTTGAATTCATGTTCATACTCACAAATAATAATTTATTAAATATTATTTAAAAAAATGATTGGTTTAGAATAGGTAATTATGACTTAGATTTTGGTGACTTGACTTTTTATACATTGCTCATTCATAATTTCATAAATTCTGAATGAATTATATAATGGGTCATACTATATTTGAAATAATACATTTTCCTAATACAATTCTGTTTTTATTATCTAAATATTAATCTAGATAATATTTTTTTAGCCTGACGCAGTAGCATCAGGTGGTGCTGATCGTTTAGGTATACCAAATGTGGGCGGCGTGTTTGTGGTACTCGTAGTCGGATCTGCGATGGCAATTTTCATAGTGCTTGGAGAATTAATTTTCAATGTGATAATGAAAGCAAGAAGACTCAAGGTATGATATTATACATATTAATTACATCAGACTATTTTTAGAGTAATTCACACAACTCCATTCTTCTAATAGTAATTTTCACTATTTGGACTGTATCTGGTCTTAATCCGAGTAACTTTGTCATTTCGACCAGGTCCTCCACATATAATATATACATAAATCGCAATATTTTATATTCTGTTATTATGTTCATTGTTTGGCCTTTACATAGTAAGAGTCGATAAATAGCAATGCATAGAAAAACAAACGCAAAATTCATGCCAGATTCTGCTATTTTCGTACATTAGTATATGCTAAATTATAGGTAATAAAATATTACCAAACAAGTTTTTAGGTATACGCGTTTTATGATATTTATTCGAGACTTTTATATATTTTATAGAAGTTTTATACGTATATTAAAAACGCGACATTTAAAATAATTGTGATCGTTTGCTAGTATTCGTTATCATGCATATAACTTTTATGTACATCTTACATATTGACAGTTTTACTAGTGGTTTATGGTATCGTGCTTTAAGTCAAATTGCTGGAACTTTCCGTACCAAATTTTTTTTTAAAAAAAATGATTAAATTTTTTTAAATTTTGTAAAAATTAGATTTTTGGAAAATTTTTAATTTTTAGAAAGAATTGACTTTTCGGAAAAAAAAACTTTTTAAAAAAATGTTTTATTTTTATTTTTAAATATTTTGGAAATTTTTGACGTTTTTTCAAAGCAGCACACTGCTTCAGTTGTATAGAGACGAAGCGCGTCAGCGCCGCTTTGCCGTCTAATGGACAAACGATGTTACAAAACCCATAGAAATGTAAACAAAATTGATACATATTATTAAGATCTCCATAAAATATCTGATAATTTGATGTGCATTTATCTAATGATCATTTTTAACCGCCAAATGGCATTTTTTTTACTTTTTTACTATATCTCCGAAACCGCTAGACCTGGCTTCTTAAAAATTTAATCAGTTGTTCATCTTGTCAACACAAGTAAAATGTTTTTTTGAATTATTAAAATCAGGCGCTCCTTTCTCTCAAAAACTGTGTTACCGTTTTTGGCACTTTTCGCCCCGGGTAGACCAACAACTAATCAGCACGTCTCCTTATCAATACAAATTGAATGTTTTTTGAATCATTCAAATCGGTTGATTGGTGTTCACGAAGTCGTCGATGAAAATTTGTATCCGCACACACACGTACACACACACACATACATACACGTACATAAGCACATACATACATACATACACATACACATACACACACACATACATGCATATAACCATTTTTTCAAATGTATGCCAGAATGTTCAGAAATCTTTGAAATGTAAAGATAAACTAGTTGGTTTGGTATTTAGCCTTGAGGCTAGTTACATGAACTTCCCGATATGTGTAAATAATCGACTTAATCAAAAAAAATGTGTAAATAATATACTTTATCAATCCTACTTTAAAAAAAACGATAATAATTTTAGCAAACTTTGACCAATTTTTAAAATTAAACTACTTGTCGTAAGGCCGTAATATTACAGTAAGTTCTATAAGACCATGATGTATATCGCGAAAAAAATTTCCATGAAAATCGGCTTAATTTTTTTTTTTCAACAGTTAATTACAAGAAAACGGCTCGGTAGATTTTCACCTAAAATTAATCAGTACCATTCCCAACTAATATCTTTCGAACAGTTTTTGATATTTTAAAATCGGTTCGGTAGGATGAGCTTAAATGTCGACAAAAATTTAACACTTTTTTTCAACAGTTAATTACAAGAAAACGGCTCGGTAGATTTTCACCTAAAATTAATCAGTACCGTTCCCAACCAATATCTTTCGAACAGTTTTTGATATTTTAAAATCGGTTCGGTAGGATGAGCTTAAATGTCGACGAAAATTTAACACTTTTTTTCAACAGTTAATTACAAGAAAACGGCTCGGTAGATTTTCACCTAAAATTAATCAGTACCATTACCAACTAATATCTTTCGAACAGTTTTTGATATTTTAAAATCGGTTCGGTAGGATGAGCTTAAATGTCGACGAAAATTTAACACTTTTTTCAACAGTTAATTACAAGAAAACGGCTCGGTAGATTTTCACCTAAAATTAATCAGTACCATTCCCAACTAATATCTTTCGAACAGTTTTGATATTTTAAAATCGGTTCGGTAGGATGAGCTTAAATGTCGACGAAAATTTAACACTTTTTTTCAACAGTTAATTACAAGAAAACGGCTCGGTAGATTTTCACCTAAAATTAATCAGTACCATTACCAACTAATATCTTTCGAACAGTTTTTGATATTTTAAAATCGGTTCGGTAGGATGAGCTTAAATGTCGACGAAAATTTAACACTTTTTTCAACAGTTAATTACAAGAAAACGGCTCGGTAGATTTTCACCTAAAATTAATCAGTACCATTCCCAACTAATATCTTTCGAACAGTTTTTGATATTTTAAAATTGGTTCGGTAGGATGAGCTTAAATGTCGACGAAAATTTAACACTTTTTTTCAACAGTTAATTACAAGAAAACGGCTCGGTAGATTTTTACCTAAAATTAATCAGTATCATTCCCAACTAATATCTTTCGAACAGTTTTTAATTTTTTAAAATCGGTTCGGTAGGATGAGCTTAAATGTCAACGAAAATTTAACACTTTTTTTCAACAGTTAATTACAAGAAAACGGGTCGGTAGATTTTCACCTAAAATTAATCAGTATCATTCCCAACTAATATCTTTCGAACAGTTTTTTTTAACTTCCCGTAGGGCAAGTTATAGTAATCGCAAAAAAATCGAAAATGAAAATTTTTATATATCTTTACGTTTCAAAGGTTTCTGAACATTTTGGCATACCTTAGAAAAAATAGATGTATGTGTGTGTGTGTGTGTATGTGTGTGTGTATGTATGTACGTGTGTGTATGTATGTGCGGATACAAATTTTCGTCGACGATTTCGGGAACACGGGTCAACCGATTTGAATAATTCAAAAAACATTCCATTCGTATTGATAAGGAGACGTGCTGATTAGTTTTTGGCGAAGGCAGGTCTAGCCGTTCCGAAGATACGGGGCAAAAAGTGCCGAAAACGGTAACTCAGTTTTTAAGAGAACGGAGCGTCCGATTTTAATAATTCAAAAAACATTTCACTTGTATTGACAAGATGAAAAATCGATAAAATTTTCATGAAGGTAGGTCTAGCGGTTTCGGAGATATGGAGGAAAAAGTAAAAAAATGAGTCATTTGGCGGTCAAAAATGATGATTAGACATATGCACATCAAATTATCAGATATTTTATAGAGATTTTAACAATAAGTATACATTTTGTTAACATTCCTATGGGTTCCGTACCAATGCTTGTGCGTTAGACAGCTACGCGGCGCTTACGCGCTTTATATTTTGTCCCTATGCTGTTAAAGCAGTACGATTGCTTTGAAAAAAAGTTCAGATCTTCCACAATATGTCAAAATGAAGAAAAATTTTTTTTTCAAAAAAAAAAAAATTAAAAAAAAAATATTTTTTTTTAAAAATTTTTTTTCAAAAAAAAGTAATTTTTTGTCCAATTTATAGTTTCTCAAAAATCTTATTTTTTCAAAGTATTTTTTTTTTTCAAAAATGTTAATCGTTTTTAAAAAAATAATAATTTTTGGTACGGGAAGTTCCAGCAATTTGCCTTGAGGCACGATGCCTTAATTGCCTTAAGACAGAATTCCACTTACAGCTAGTTTTTAAAATCAGTTCGGTAGGATGAGCTTAAATGTCGACGAAAAGTTTAACACGTTTTTTTTCAAATTACAAAGAAACGGCTTGGCAGATCGTTGCACAAAACTGACAAACGATAGTCCTCAGCGAAATACATCAAATGGCTTTTAAATTTCTAAAATCGGTTCAGGCGTTTTTGAGAAAACGTCGATCAAAAGTCTAATTTTGACAAATGCCAAAAAGACCATACTGATTTTTGCAAACTTTGACGAATTTTTAAAGCTGAACCAGTTGTTGTAGGGCCGTAATATTTTAGTATGATCTAGAAGACTATGGTATCTATCGTCAAAAAAATAATCATAAAAATCGTCGAATTTTTTTTTTTTTAAACTTTATTACAAGAAAACGGCCCGGCCGATCTCTACCAAAAACTAATCAGCACGATTCCCAACCAATATCTATTGAACGGTTTTTGTTCGAGCCTCACAAATTTTATTTATCCATCTCCCTCTACCTATATACTGAACTCCCTCTAATCTGTAATAAAATAATTTCCTACCCTACTCTAGGTACTAAGATAGTTATAAGAAATTATCCATTCTGTACGCATAACTTGAACCGTGAACATCAAACAAATAAATACTATTAATAACTAACTAACTTATTTAACTTACATATTTTTAAAGGTCTGATATAGCCATTCTAATGATAAATTATATCTGGTCCTTCGAGGTAATTAAGTGTCCGTGTGTAGTGATTTTTTAATTGACTTTTTTAATAAACATTGCGCCGGGCGCTTACATTTTTTGGTCCAATTCGAGCCGGATTCGACCTCCAGTGTTAAACTTAAACCTATATTAACTAATATAAACTAAAAAGTGCACAGTGATTTCCAACACAGCGTAATCCACTGGAGCCACAAATCTAACCTACAAAGTGCACAGTGATTATTAACAGCGTAATCCACTGGAGCCACAAATCTAACATACAAAGTGCACAGTGATTATTAACAGCGTAATCCACTGGAGCCACAAATCTAACCTACAAAGTGCACAGTGATTATTAACAGCGTAATCCACTGGAGCCACAAATCTAACCTACAAAGTGCACAGTGATTATTAACAGCGTAATCCACTGGAGCCACTAATCTAACCTACAAAGTGCACAGTGATTATTAACAGCGTAATCCACTGGAGCCACTAATCTAACCTACAAAGTGCACAGTGATTATTAACAGCGTAATCCCCTGGAGCCACTTAATCTAACTTACAAAGTGCGCAGTAATTATTGACAGTGTAATCTACTGGAGCCACAAAAACTACTCATCAGTGTACGTTATTATCAACAGCGTAATAACTGCATTATCAAGAAAATCTACGAAGCGGTCAAGAAGCTACAGAATCACATCAAACAAGGTTAGTCAAAGCAATCCTTTCTAACTTATCCTAAACTTATCCTAATCTTTTACCTAACTCCATACTTAACCATCTCTAGAATTTTGTGTGAATCTACATTAAAATGGATTTATTAAAATCATTACAATCTTTACAAAACGAACTAACATTAATAAAAGCTCGTCTAGCAGAATTTGAACAAACTTGTAACGAAATGTCAAAAATTCCGTGTAGCAAACTAAATGTATTACAGATAAACGGTATTTTGGAAAAAGTGAAACCTATGATAGACACGTTCCAAAATACACTTGTCGAAATAACTACTTTTTTAGACGACGAAGAAGAAATTGATCAATTATTAGAAACAGAACTGCTTGATTTCGATGACGATCATACTAGATGTCTATCAAAATTACGTAAACTACTTAATAAAGCATCCACTAAATCTGGTTCTACTAACAGCTTTAGTGATCAAACAATCAAATCATCAAACAATATAAAACAACCTCTAATTTCGATCAAATTACCTGAGTTTGATCAAAATATCAATCATTTCCAAAATTTGAATTACCCTAAACTCGAGGCAGGGAGCATAACTAAATCTTTACCTGTTCTCGACAAAAACTATTCCTTCGCGACGGAATTATCAGAAACACGAAACGAAAATAATAAAACTACGTATAACATTCCGACAAATTCTTTTAACGCAAACATTTTAAACATTCCAAAATTTGAAAAATTACCAGACTCAACATGTAATAAAGCAAATTTTGTAATCGACAACGAAACCTTTTACAATAAAAACATAAAATTAGGTAACAATAAACCTGATTCGCATATTACTCTATTCGGCTTAAATGGGAACACGCATCCCGAGCCTTTTACACTTTATAATTCTACCTCAAACCTGGAAAACCAGGTACTAACCGGAAAACGAAATCTCACACCGAATACTACGAGAATTACCTGGCGATTCGGTATAAAAATTCCTTTTGCCAACAATAAAAATCTGACACGTAATAAACATATTGAATACTACATACGATCAAACGACAAATTATCTAAAGAATATTATCTCATTACCGATGCAAATAAAATACTTTCACTACTAACAACCAAACAAAATTTAACAAAACTTTTAACGAATGACAAATTAAATCTATATGATTTCAAAACTAATCATTTTAAACTTTTAGATAAACCCTATTTTTATTTTAACAAACAAACTGCTAAAACTCTAGATATAGTTTGTAACATACTAGATAGTTTTAGATTCAATAATATAGTTTTAGCTAATAAAGCTATAAATAAAACAATTACTAAAATACTTATTTCGGAAGCTACAGCTCCATTCCGTTATAAATTATTATTAACTCAACAATTACTAGACGGATTTTGCAACACGATAGAATGGGTATACAGAACTTTTACCTATTTATGCTCTACCGTGAAAAATTCTAATACTAAAATATATTTAACTACATCGAAACCTAAAGCAATGGCTTTAAAAAATATACCACTTCAACGACTTGAGCTTTTACCAATTCTTATACAGAAAGAAAAACGCGCATTAAACTTTACATTTGATAAGAAATTTTATTTGAATAACTATACGGTTACTTTATTTCTTATAAAACCTCTATCAATCAAGCGGAAAGCCTTGGTAACTGATAGAGTAGACAAAATAGAAACAAATTGTGATATAAACATTTTGGCTTCTAATACTACAGTTGCGGTTACGAAAATCTTTCGATACAAACGACTGTTTAAATTTTAAAATTCCAATAACAAAAATGGATTGTGAACCTATTAAACTTGCTTCAAACAATACTTTTACTATCTTGATTGATTGTTGTATCACTAAAGCTCTTCATATTGAACAAACTTTTAATTTGACTGCGAAATACTTGGTGGTCACGCGGAAATGGTTCATTGCGCAAAGTTGCAAAATTTACAAAATGATTTCAGAAGACAGTTCAAATTTTGTTAACGCAGCACCAAACTTAAAACGATTTCATATGATACTACAATATAAATCAATTAACACAAGGGCAACAAATAATTTAGCAATTAAACTTTTAATAAATTATATCATATCAAAGACCCTTTATTTTGAAACTATCGATTCACTATCTATTCATCTGTTAAATCTTATAAAGCGCGTTAAAATGAGATATTGGGAACATTTATTTAACTTACAAAAATTCTTATGAACAATTTTACTTAAACACATTTTAACGCAGATTGACAAAATTCTAAACCTGAATCTCCTTTGATTCCAATCCTAATTACTAATCCTTAACAATTCACTTTCCAATTGGAAATTCTTTAACCTTTATACCTAACCCGCTATTGCTTAAAATACCTGTCAAGAGACACCTCCGGATCCACAACTGCAGGAATCAACCTTTTGGAAACATGCAACGAGATCATGATTGCATATGCAATTATTATATCTAATTAGAATCTTTCAACCCTTGAACTGGCACTTGAGACGCGTTCCAGCAAACTATCCAGGGGAAGGAAGGTACTGTGTGTGTTGTGACCAATAAAACAAACAATAGTGTGGTGAATTGTGCAACAACAAAACTTTGTGTACTAATAACTAACAGGGATATATACCATATCATACAAATCAATGCATAAACTATTTTATCTTGAGACTTTAAACACCAAACCTGTGAGTGTTACCAATAGACATTATAATCAATCGTGAATTCATAAACTGTGCTATCACAAGACTTTAATCATTACTAGAATTTAATTGATAATAAAATCAATCATTTTTACATATTATTATAACTAATTAATCTTTATACATTTATATTGTAACTTTACTATAACACCATAACTATACGAAGCAATGTTGAAAAATCATGTAAATTAATTTCCCATTGTTTTTTCAAATCGGGCCGGCATGTTCGAGCCTCACAAATTTTATTTATCCATCTCCCTCTACCTATATACTGAACTCCCTCTAATCTGTAATAAAATAATTTCCTACCCTACTCTAGGTACTAAGATAGTTATAAGAAATTATCCATTCTGTACGCATAACTTGAACCGTGAACATCAAACAAATAAATACTATTAATAACTAACTAACTTATTTAACTTACATATTTTTAAAGGTCTGATATAGCCATTCTAATGATAAATTATATCTGGTCCTTCGAGGTAATTAAGTGTCCGTGTGTAGTGATTTTTTAATTGACTTTTTTAATAAACATTGCGCCGGGCGCTTACAGTTTTTGAATTTTCAAAATCGATTCAGAATTGCGGGCTAAAACGTAGACGAAAATTTTTTCACTTTCTGCCATTTATAAAGAAACGGCTTGGCCGATCGTCGCACAAAACTGACAAACAATAGTTCTCGTCGAGATACATCGAATGGCTTTTAAATTTTTGAAATCGACCCAGCCGTTTTCGAAAAAACGTCGATTTACGGCAAGAAATCTGTTCACATACACAACAACACACACACACATACTTTTTTCCAAATTGGTCTCATTCGATTCAGAATGGCTTTGAAACGTCGAGAAAACATAAAATTAGCGAATCGATTTTGATAAAACATAAACTTCTCCTTCGGGAAGTTAATAAAAATTTTCATTTTCGAATTTTTGCGATTACTATTTACTTACCCTACAGGAAGCTAAATATTGCAAGACATTAAGGATTTTAAAATGTTTGAATTATGTATAAAAAATGATTTTTGTTTTTCAGACCCCAATAATGACTGAAATGATTGAAGAATTCAAGTTCGTATTCAGTGGAGCAGACACTAAGCCGATGCGGTACAGAAGTCAGAGCAGGAAAAGTTCGGCTGAACGCAAGATTTAACTGGAATCTCTGATGGTAGTGATGGATCTGGCCAAGACCGCGATGAACCCTTACCTTATGGTTTTTCTGTTCTTTTGGGAAGTAAAAAGAGTCAACTTGATGTGTTCAGACCGACGGAAGATCATACACCATCAAATAGAAGCCAGCCGAATGGTAACGATAAAAGCTCAAAAACGAACCATTAACGCTGTGAGAATATGTAAGTTTTTTAAAATAATTACTTTTGGGTGATGGTGATAGTACAGTAGTGGGTGATATTTGCAAAAAATAATTTTTAATTCAGTCATTCATTTTTTAAAAATCATGTTATTTTAGTATATTGGCATGCTTTTAAGTCAATATGTAGGCGGTATCCATTTGTAGTAACAAACAAGATCTCTAACAATAAGTGGCGGTGTATTTCATCAATCGGATTGACTGTTTTTTTCCTAATGTTTTCAGACAAGATATCTTAGAAGTGAAAGATTAACATAAAAAGTTTGATTATCTGAATAGTTTTTGAATATCTTTATGTCAATAATTCTCTCGTACTTGTGGAGCATTGTTAAATCATATTTTGCCATACTTTAAAAAATGAAAAATAAAAGATCAACCTAAATAGTTCTATTAATCTTATAATCTCTCTCTTTCATTTCTCAAGCCAAACTAGTCAATCTTTCTCACTATCGGTAGAGTGTTTTGTCAATACTTTGAATATTAATAATGAATAATAGATATTACTTATAAAAATTTGATTTGTTTATTGTTTTAAATACATTCAATAATTAAAAATATAATGCCATTTAATTTAAATAAAAAAAACTAAATTAAGTTAATTTATTACAATTTCATGAATTATACATTGTATAATTATACCCAATATGCTACTCAATATCATTCAAATGTGTAAATAACTCTGTTGTAAATAAATATTGTTGAGGATAAGATGTGTAAATACAATATCTATATTTTACCGAGCTATTTTATTTAATACAATTAAAAGTTAAATTTAAATAACAAATTAAGGACAATTTAAAAACGTCTCACCTAACCAATTTGAACGATTTGCTGGTTTTCTAATATTTTTAACTTCCCGTAGGGTAAGTTATAGCAATTGCAAAAAAATCGAAAAGGAATTTTTTTTTTATATCTTTACTTTACAGAGCTTTCTTAACATTTTGGCATACCTTAGAAAAAATGGATACATGTGTGTGTGTATATGTGTGTATGTAGGTATGTGTGTATGTGTGCGTATGTGTTCAATTTCGAAACACGGTTCAACTGATTCCAATTATTCAAAAAATAGTCGATTGCTGTTGATAAGGAGACGTGATGATTAGTTTTTGGCATAAGTAGGTCTAGCCGTTCCGAAGACACGGGGCAAAAAGTGCCAAAAACGGTAACTCAGTTTTTAAGAAAACGGGGCGCCCGATTTTAGTAATTCAAAAAACATTTTACTTGTATTGATAAGATGAAGAACTTATCAAATTTTCATGAAGAGAGGTCTAGCGGTTTCGGAAATTTAGTAAAAAATGTAAAAAAATGCCATTTGTCGGTCAAAAATGATCATTAGGCATATGCACATCGAATTACCAGATACTTTGTAGAGATAAGTATAAATTTTGTTTGCAGTCCTATTGGTTCCGTACCAATGTTTATCCGTTAGACGGCGACGCGGCGCTTACGCGCTTTGACATTTTGTCTCTATGCTGTTTGCTTTGAAAAAACGTTTGCTTTGAAAAAAAAGTCAGAATTTCGTAATACGGTCAAAATAGTTTTTTTTTCAAAAAAAGTAATTTTTTGTCAAATTTATAGTTTCTCAAAAATCTAATTTTTTCAAAGTAATTTTTTTTCAAACATGTTAATTTTTTTAAAAAAAATAATTTTTGGTACGGCAAGTGCCAGCAATTTGCCTTAAGGCACGATGCTATGCGCCCCAGTAGTTTTAATCTTAACTATAACTGTTGAAAAGTAATAATGCATTTTTAATAACAAAGCAAATTTATATTATATAACTCTAATTAAAATTCTATATAGTTCATATTAAATTAAGTTTCCGCAGGATAAATTATAATTATTGCAAAAAAACATCTTTACGATTCTAAACCATCTGAATATTGTGGCATACATTAGAAAAAAATGACGTATGAATGTGTGTATGTATGCATGTATGTTTATATGT